TTTTTGGATCACACATACCTAGAGTTGTACGTGCGACAACCGAACCCGGTACACGTTGCGCGGCAGCCAGTTGCCCAGCCACCGCGTCAACCGGTGTTATAAAAATGCATTAACCTTGTTCTTGAATCACTATCTATTAAAAGGTTAATTTTAAAGATCTAAGGATATAGATACACAGACAGCAGAAAGCGACTTTGTTTTATAGGTACCTACTATGTATGGTGATTAGTAAGAAAAACTACATATTATTATCACAGTTATAAAAGGTCAGGTGTAGCAGAGAGCGGTGCTGTCCGGTATCAGTCAAAAGTGTAGTCCCTAATCGGCTAATAATTGTATTAGCCGATTATATTATTGGCTATTGAGCCACAGCAAAGGTAGTGGTATCGTGGTGTGTCACAATTTTATTCTACATACTTTCTTTTCTTTATTATACCATACAGTACAATAATTGTACCTATGAGTACAATGGCGGTGTTATCGCTGAGAGCTATCAAATAACGTGTAAAAAAATGAAGGTTAATTTGCTAATTATACTAAAATCTCGAATTAGGTACGAGAAAACAAATTTAATCGATCTTAACCAAACATTACCTGCCTTTTGTAAATATTGTGTATACTCTCTAAATCAATCAATTAAAAGAGTGAAAGAGTAATGAATGGTGTTTGTTGCTAGTTTTTCTCCATTCGAATATACATTTTGGATTGAGCACCTAGCTTCATTGACGGAGAGACTGACGGATTCTCATTTATTTTGTATTTATTGACGTTTCAAAAGTACCAAATTATGGTTTAATCATCATGAATGCTTTGACTTTGAAATCAGAGAATTTCTTTACCAAACAACTTTTGAATCTAAGTTACGCTAAAATTTTGAAGATTGAACTACAATAAAACCTTATTCGACATGTTTCCCATGTTTGGTACCTATTGGTAGTTGCATTGGCTATATCTCGACTAACTAGCCTTTCTTTTCTTTTTCGTTACTTAACATCACGTCTTTTATCCCTGACGGGGTGGGCAGAGTAGGACAAAATGGCTCTTAATTTCACTATACAATGAAACACCTACTTTTCACTATTTAATGTTATGAGCCCCATGTAATAGGGCGTGATCCTATTGCCTTATACCTGGTACAACTCTAGACTCCATGCTAATTAAAAACAAACCGAGTAATACTTCGCCTGACCCACGACCACTCGGCCAGCGAGACAGTCTTTTTCGTTAATTATAATATAATTTATTACCGTTGCCAATTCTTTTACATATAGTTGATTATGTAGATGTGTATCAAAGTGGCAATGCAATTAATACTCCATTTTCATACTACATGACTACAACTATAAATGTATTTATGTTGGTTGTGGTTGCCCAACCTTTTATTTCACGAAAATTAAGTGCTCCATTAATTATATCGAAATTTTAAGTGGCCAATTCAATATACTGATACAGAATTACTTATACAGATTCACTTTGAAATTTTTTGTTGACGTTCAAAAGTGCCTTCCTAGTCTAATTTGAAATAAATGATTTTGACTTTGACTTTGATGGTGTAAACAATGTTTTTGTAGGTACCGGTTAGCATTTTTGACTGCCTCGTTGGCCGAGTGGTCGCAAGTGCGACTGCCGGGCAAGGGGTCTCGGGTTCGATTCCCGGGTCGGGCAAAGTATTGCTGGGTTTTAAAAAAAAATTCTCAGTAGTAGCACGGAGTCTGGAATTGTGCCCGGTATATGGCAATAGGCTCACCCCCTATTACATGGGACTCATAACATAAATAGTGAAAAGTGGGTGTTACATTGTACAGTGGCATAATGTGCACCTCTGCCTACCCCTTCGGGGATAAAAGGCGTGATGTTATGTTGTTGTTGTTAGCATTTTTTTAAAGTCTACCAATACAATATGAAAATATTAGAAGCACAGAAATACCAGTTCAAGTTAATGACTTAAAATAAATTGCTATGCTTCTTGTGAACAAAATAAATTCTTAAACTTCATTACGTATTTCTAAGCTCCTTACCACGTAATTACTTAACATAGAAAATATTTTTCAATATAAAACCAAGAATTCATTCCCTTCATACCATAAAAGTGTGCAATCATTTCAATGATACACCATAACAGACAACTTCAAATTAGCTTCCTACGAACTGATATCAGATCAAAAGAGCTCCATGAATTGAACTTTAATTTCATACCAATGCATCTAATTTCAATAGGAAATGTTCTCATTTTATTAAATTAAAATCATTGGGGATTCTCGATCAAAGGGACTGTAATGATGTCAATTGATTCGAAATTGGCCTAAGAACTGAAGCCAGATCACATCTCTGTAAAGGAGCTCAATTATCTGAAGCCAAAGAAACACAGAATGTTGCCACAAATTAAAGAATCGTTCAACGCAAATAATCTGTTCTACAAGCGGTGACACAAATAGGGCAGCGATGGCGGACCAGTAGACGCTTAGGCCGAATTCACACTAAACATTTACCAGTAATAACTTGGAAATATTTTGATAAGAGTTCTAAGAAATTTGCAAAAGAAACTCACAATGAAACGAACAAACAGGTTTTAAATTAGCACTTAAAAAATAAGAGCATCTGTTGGTCAAATGCTCAAAAGCTTGAATATGTCCTCAAGAATAGTTCTGTCACTTCAAATTCTAAAATGACACATATTTACATATTACGATATTACCACAACTTAAAATGTAGTACCATTTTAGTGTTTGGGAATATCGGACAGCTGTGTAGCGAAGAGAATATCTTTCTTACCATTTTCTTTCTCTTTTTTTGAATATGGTAAAAGTGGTGAAGGGATTACACATTTTACAGAGGTCCGCTAACAGCTCTCTGTGATAAACTTGAACACCTACTAAATAGAGATTATGACAAACCCTATTGGTATTAGGAGTATGTGACATATCATAACATCACGCCTTTTGTCCACGAAAGAGTAGGTAGAGGTGCACATTACGGCACTTAATGCAACTGTACAATGTAACACCCACTTTTCACTATTTATGTTATGAGTCCCATGTAATAGGGGGTGAGCCTATTGCCAAATACCGAGCACAGTTTCAAAATCCGTGCTACCACTGAGAAAATCTTAGGTACTTAGAAAAAATACTTTGCCCAACTCGGGAATCGATTCCGAGACCCCTTGCCCGGCAGTCGTACTTGCGACTACTCGGCCAACGAGGCAACGAGAAGAGTATGAGATTTGTAGAGAATTAATTAAGTTACTTAAGTGTACTTTCACCCTAAAGAAGACCTTTTATAAATACTTTTTCTTAGTACTTTGAATGAAGGAGAAAGTGTCTTTGTGTATTAATGTGTACGAGTATTTATCAGAACAGAAAATTCATAAAATGTAATGCTAATAACTTCATGGAAATAGTTAGAAAGTAGCACACAACATATGAGCCACTACCAAGTGACTAAGATATTATGCAAAACGGAATCATTTCTAAGTATTAAACATGTTTGTCAGTCTTACTTTTTGGTGCATATATAGATAAAGGAAGTTATGTGGTGTCAGAAGAGTAAATTACATTGGTCATCACCCATTTTCTTTATGTGGGATCACCAGCATAATAATTACATGTGACGAGAATTATTCTTGTCACAAGAGCCGACTGGGGCCTATAACCATTTCTTGGCATGTCACAGAGTGCTCTCTGACAAACCTGAACTTCTCAAACGGTAATACGCAACCCATCCCAAAAGTAGTGATTATAGCAAAACCCCTGCTATGTAGAGCAGTCTTATTCATACCTCAACAGTGGATTGTCACTGATCGATGATGAATATTTTGTCTTTGATTATACATTATCTGAGAAATGACAAGTTATTAGAGACTAGCTGAGCCCGCGACTTCGTCCGCGTGGAATAGTGATTCAAAGCTCCTCCCCTGTAGTTCATAGCATAATAATATGTAGCCTATATGTTGCCCCGACCTGTTAGTAATATTCATGCAAAATTTTAAGTAAATCCATGCAACACTTTTTGAGTTTATCCCGGACATACATACAGGCAAGCAGACAACCAGACAAAATTTGTAAAAACCATATTTTTAGTTTCGGTAACGACTGTAGATCACGCCCAAACCATTAAAAAATATTTGGTGCACATTTGTCACTTTTCTACGATTTTATTAGAGATAGATTATAAAACATCACAAAATAAATCGATTCTTCTAAATAGGAACTTAAATCAAATCCAATATACCTATAATATCATGTGTTAGGTACTCAGATCAATAATTTCCACGAACCTCTGTTCGCAATTCGCACCTCATTTGTAGAATATTAATAAAAGGTTTTCAGATTGTCCTCCTGTGTCTGACATTTTATGACGGTCGCTTATGTTCATCGCGTACATACATTGTAGCTAACAGTTTAATATTAATTTAACATATATTTAAAATGATTACCTGCAGGCTGCCTCGTTGGCCGAGTGGTCGCAAGTGCGACTGGGCATGGGGTCTCGGGTTCGATTCACGGGTCGGGCAAAGTATTACTGGGTTTTTAAAAAAATCTCAGTAGTAGCACGGAGTCTGGAATTATGCCCGATATATGGCAATAGGCTCACCCCTTATTACATGGTACTCATACCATAAATAGTGAAAAGTGGGTGTTACATTGTACAGTGGCATAATGTGCACCTCTGCCTACCACTTCGGGGATAAAAAGCGTAATGTTATATATGTATGTACTATTTGGTTTGAATATATTTTGTTGTGCTTTTGATGACAGTCCATTTTATATCAGTTATGTTATAAGTCCCATGTCATTGCAGATGAGTCCAGTCATACATTGATCACAATATCAGACTCCATGATATGATTAAGAGTTTTCGAAAAACTAGAAAATCGTCAGGAATGAAACACGTGATTCTTTTGCTTGCAGTCATGCGTATGACTTGCGGTTATGTGGACAATGGGCCTTAAACTTGCATACGTACAGTTTGAAAATCGTTTGTTCTTTTCTTTTTGTTCACAGTCGCGTTTGGATTCATTTCACAGATTGACTGCAGCAGCCAATATGATAAGTGAGTATGATGTGAAACATTTGAACCGCTCTGTTAATTTTTGCTACACTATTTCCTTGAGGCGCTTACCTATAACTAGAATTATTTTCGTTAATAATTATCTACATATCTTACTGGAGTATGATGATAGATAATACGAACAATATAATTACGGTATGAATTATGATTCACATAAAAGAAATAATAATTTAAAGACAAGGTTTGTGGGAAAAGAAAATCTGGAAAACTTCCTGAGATAATCAGAAAATAATGAGCGGCTGGGGTGCTAATGTAATCATGTACCCAGTTACCTATCTACGTTGCAGAAGAACGTAATGGAAGTTCATTTATATTTGGTCCTAATATAATCTTATTTATTCCTAGCTACACACTCATACGCCTGCACCCAACTTCAGTGGAACATCAGAAATCCGTGACGCAGTTTAATGATCCTACGGGAGAAATCGAAATTATGAAGGAGAGTCGCGGCGTCAATGACACTTTGGACATATTGGTACCACCAAGTAGAATGAAATTTGTGCATGAGTACGCAAATACTAACGGACTAGTGTTGGAAGAAAAACAACCTAACTATGGCAGGTCAGTGGAATAAGATAAATTGCACTAACAACCCAATAAAAATAATAACAGCCTTTTTAACTATATTCAACTTTACTTAATTTTAGTCCTTGTAGTCCAATAAAAGGTGAAAAGTACAGAATTCTGATAAAAAGCAAATATTTATATATTTTTCTCAGGACTTTAGAAGATGTGCCAGATAGACTTCCAAGGAGAAGAATTCTGGAGCGTTTTGGCGTATTCAATTACAATTCATACGATAAAGTAAGTTTTGATATCCCGATATATGAACAGAACTAGAAATAATCTAATTAAACTATTTGAAATACCAAAAAGCAATACTTTAAGCTAATCCGACAAACGAATCTAAGAGCCATTGATTGAAAATCGACCTTCTGACTTGTGACCACTCGATCAATGAGACAGTTTAAACCAAGGCCTATCTAATAAATTGGCGATTCTGTAATTACAAAATTAAATAAATATTTCATTAATTTAGATGCAAGAGTTCATTGAAGCCAAAGCACAGAAATATGGTGCCCTGGTGCAGCTGCAGGACCTTGGCAAGAGTTTCCAGGGTCGCAAGATGAGGCTCGTCAAGATATCAACCAAACCAAGTGCTAACAATCCTATTATATTTGTTGATGCAGGTAACTACAGCATTGTTTTCTTCACAATGAGAAATTTCACTGTATTAAGAATTTTTTAAGACTACCAGGAAGATGAAAATACGACGTATTGTATATCTCCCAAAATAAAAATGCAACATTCATTATGGAACTCAACAATGACTCATCGAAAATAATAATGGTACGCTAATAATTGCAATGTTACAGGTGTTCATGGCAGAGAATGGGTAGCACCAGCAATGGCACTATATTTGATTGATCGTCTGACTATCGACCCTAGGGGCTTCCTGAGAGGTGGAGAGCTGGATGGTGTCGACTGGTACATCCTACCCCTGGTCAATCCTGATGGTTATGAATACACCAGATCTAGCAGAAGTGTAAGCATTTCAGTAATATGAAACTTTGATGCATCCTGTTAATGAATTGTGAGTGTACGTTGTAATTCTTTTTTCTACAGAATCGCATGTGGAGGAAAACAAGATCAAAACATGGCGCCAGCCATTGTTACGGCGTTGACGGTAACCGGAACTACGGCTTCAAGTGGGCAGTAAGTGGGGTATCCAGCGATCCTTGCCACAAAGAGACATACGCTGGTCCTCAGCCTTTCTCTGAACCCGAGACGCAAATGGTCAGAAATGTTATGATGGACAACGCAAAGCGGATGAAGTTGTACGTATCACTGCATTCTTACGGTCAATACTTGGTCTACCCATGGGGATATACAGGAGAATATTTGCCTAAACAATGGAAGAAACTGGATAATATGGCAAAAGCAGTATCGGACGCTGTAGAGCGAGCTGGAGGGCAACCATTCAAAGTCCTCAGCGCTGGTAAATGGTACCCTGCGGCCGGCGGGAGCGATGACTTTGCCTTTGGAGCTGCAGGAGTCCCATATTCCTATACCATGGAGTTGACTGAAGGACATGAATTCGCATTCCCTGAAAACCTTTTAGGAACAGTATTACCCCAGTTCTATGAGGGATTCAAAGAGTTTGGTGCTCGAATCAGGGCTGAATTTGGTAACCAAAGGAAAAAGAGAGAGATCTTGGATACACAGTGACTTGTTGAAGACTGACATCATGAAATAGGGTACGATTATAGTGAATAAGAATAAAAATTTAAAACGAATTGGTTTTATTGATTTCCAAACATTTTATTGCTGCAGCAATATTTTTCATGATTCTTGCAATAGTATCGACACGTGACCGTTGACCAGTGAACGTTGACATGCAAAGAGATGAATAATTTTTTACTAATATTTTTATTTACATTAATTGCTGGTGCGTAGTTTGAGTAAGTTATTCTTGTTGTCCATTAAGTAGCTACACGGTAGTTTAATTGTAGTTTATTTTTATTTTAGTGATTATTAAAACAAATGATGCTTCAAGATGTGGGTAAGTGACGTTCTGAAAATGTTATTAGATTTTTAATACTCAAACTTATGATAAGAAAATCATATTACTTTTTAATCTACAAATAGAATGTTTTTAGTTGTAAAAACTTAAGACATTGCTACGGGGAGATGTTACATACGTTACTGGATAGAGATGAAGCAGCGTGTATAGAAGATGCGGCAATTGGTGCAAGTACGGTAAGGCCAGCAAATGCAGTATGTCTGTACGTAGATAATCGTCCATATATTGACAATGAGCCTACGATTACAGGTGACAATATTTTTGAAAGCCATAAGGGAATACTGTGGAGATGTAATGAACGTTATAAGTGAACATATGACTTATGAAGGGAGACATTTATATGAGGTAAAGTGTTAATTATTTTCCACCAAAATTTTTTGACTAAAATGTGTCCATCGTTGTTTTCCGCCAATGTCATAAGGATGCAACTCCTTTAGGAGCATACCAGTTGTCATTTGGAACAAAATATTAGTTTTTATTGCTAAATTTACGGTAGAACCAAAAAGCAATTACCTTTAAAGATAGGATAATAATGATAACAACTCAATATCGGTAGGTAGTCCTAACCAAAGACCGTCCACCTTCCGATAAATCAGAAGACCAGCAAACAAAGCCAACGATCATCATCGAGGCTGGACAGCAAGGAGGCACAGAATCCGTAGGGTTGGCCCTTTATATAATAGAACAATTGGTCGCGTGTGAGGACTACGAACCCATGCTCCAGTACGTCACCTGGGTTATACTGCCCTGTACCAACCCTGATGGACAGGAGTACTCCAGATATGTAAGAGACGTTTATTTTTCTATCTGTCTTTATCAAACGAAATTAGTAGAAAGGTCAAGATTAATAAACGAACTTAATAGGTAGGGATCTGGTATGATCTGAACAGACTTTAGATAATTATCATGACAAAACATATGAATATAACATGTACTCGCAAAACTAGTAGAGTCGCAGATAATTAGTGTAATTTATCTTATAATTTTCTAATTTGTTTTTATTTTATTTTAACGATTCAGACATTAAAGAATCTATCAGTTGAATTCGTTAGTAAAACTATGTTGTAATGGTTTTAAATTTAAGTTATATTTTATGTAATCCATTATAGAGTCAAGTTTCGTGGAAAAAGAATCTGAGACCTTCAGAAGATCAACTAAGTTATGGCGTGGATATAACACGGAATTTCGATACTCAATGGGGTTCTTGTCCCAAAATCGAATCTGGATTTTCACCAATCTACCCCGGAGTTGGACCGGCTTCAGAAAATGAAACAATGTTCATTAAGAGCGTTATCGCGAAACATAAAAAAGAGGCGAAGATTTACGTGTCATTAAAGCGCGACGGACATTCAATTCATTATCCGTACGGGCACACCAAGAGCGCTCCCAGCAACCCGACACAGCTGCATCGCGTGGCTGGTGATATAGCAATGCGAGTCAATCAAAGAACTGGTGGCGTGCATTTGTTCATGAACACCAGTGTGTTCGACTACGAGGGCAAGGCCCACTGTGGACACAGCGTCGACTACGCGTACGAGAGCGGTATCCCATTGTCTTATGAAATGCGTGTTTTCCTCGGATCGGACAACAAAATAATGACCAAGTTTCAATCCTTACCACGGGGATACGATAATTCTCTAAGAAATGGATATTTCAGTGGCATAAGAGAAATGTACAACGTACTCACTAACGAGAAGAAATACGGTAAAATTACAAAATAAACCTTATTTTTATAAAACTTTGGGTCGTCTTTTAATTGCTTCCACGAGTAAATTACCTATGTGTGCGGGGCGTACATTACAAGTATATAAGACGGAGAAACGCAACCGGGCCCGACATATATCACTATTCAGATTGCCTCAAATTATGTGCTCCAAATCGAGCATAAAAATCTTCAACTAGGTCAAAATTATGTACTGGGATCGGCATCTATTACGATACAATATTTATTTAGTACATAATGGTGTATCTACGTTGGAGGAGTCACTTTTCCACTTTTCGGTAGGATGTCGGTCATGCGCGTTAGGGCGCCTGAAACGCGCCTGCGCTAGGGGTGGGGCCCGCAGCAGTTCAGCCCGCTGCCACTCTGTAGTCAGCCGCGGCGGCAACACCGCGCTTTCTCCGCCACCTCTCCCAGTACCCTGTCCTCCTAGTACCTCTCTCGACTCTAACTCGAACTTAACTCTGCCGCCGCTCGCGCTCAAATTCTAAACATTTTTATTCGTTCGTTTCTTTTCACATTACGCCTTTCATTTCTCGTTGACGTTTACTTTGTAGTGTTTTTACATTTTTTAAGTTGTTTAAATAAAAAATAAAATATCTAAAAAGAAGAACTTGAAGACAAAATAAAAATATATTTGTTTGTTTTTTTGTAGTTGATTAATTTTGTGTTGTAAATAAAAAGAAAAGCTGGTCGCTGAGTTCTTCTCATCTGTGGTAAGTAAAATTTAGGGCAGAATTTTCAGGAGTCGTACAAGTCGTTCGAGAGTTGGAGACTTTGGAATAAGTAGTAGCATAGTAAGAGGAAAGAGCCGTTTCGAATGGGGCGGAAGGCGGTCCCGTCGGCAACAGGTTGGTGGCGAGCGACGGGCGCCGGGCGCGGAAACGATGCCTTCTACCCGTAGCTGAGCTCCGCAATTCTATTAACTGTTAATAAACACCCCAGATAGCAGCCTTTAACGCTAATTACCGCCGAGGGACTTATAATATTAAATTTCTTGCCATTCTCGTTGAAAATTCCGTTAAAATATTACTTTTCTGCAATATGAGCTAGGGAAAATAAATTGCACGGTCCTTGTCGTTTACTTGACGTATTTACTTTGAAATTTGGGTTATGGTTGTAATAAAAGTTCGGGGAATATTTACCAAGTCTAGAAAAAAATCCACAATAAAAAAAAATGTAGGACGTGATAATAATTGACTAGATATCTAGTAGTTCCGTTTTCACGGTATTGCTATGTTTATTTGGGTTCTTTAGAAGGTTTTTCTTAGAAATATAATTAATAAAATTATTGGTAAAGCCGATTCCAATAAAACAGATGTTGATACAGCCAATTTCAATAATATAAAAAGGGGAAAATATCTGAACTGTTGTTTATTATTTTAAATAGCAGTATACAGCAATTTTCATTAACTTATTAATTTTCTGGAAGACTATGCCACGGATAATCAATGAATGTATCTGTGTTATAATTTCTAAGTCCATCTGTTAAAAAAATAATATTTCCCGAAATAAAAGACTCTTGTCATATTTTACAAATGGCTGCTAAGTTCACCTTAATTTTATTTTTGGGGAATTAGAACTTTTTGGGGTCTGCAGAACGATTTAAAAGTTTTGAAGTATTTCATATTTTTGGTTTGTGCGAAAATGTTTCTAAGTTAGCAGATTTTCATTATTTTGAGTAAAATGTAGCCTAAATAGGTGACATTAGATTTGTAGTTGGTCTAAAAGTTAAAAAACACCGAGGGTTTAAAATGAAGATAAGAAACCCATTTGAAATTAACGAGTTTTAATAATTCGAAAACTTTTAATGTGGAATATGCCTGTAAATAACGGAATATTATTTTACAGAACTTTGGCATGTAGAGCTTGTTTAAAAAATAAATTAACTTAAATAAAATTGGTACCTATTGGTAATATTTTTAACGTATGTCCGGTTATAAAAACATTAAAAGTAATATAAACTTTATCATTTTTATTAAATTAATATTAACTACTGAGGACAGTCACTTTCATTTTCAAAAAGACATTGACGGTTGCTCTAAATTCAAATAAAAAATAAATGCAATGTGGCACAGGTCAGAGTTTCATACAGCCTACTAGAAATGTATAGCGGGACTTCCATTTTCAAAAGACGGTTATAAATCGTTGCTCTAAATTTTAAATAAAATTAAATGCAACGTGGCACAAGTCATAGTTTCATACAGTCTAATAGAGTAGAGGTGTACCAATTAGGGTTGCTATCAGATAGAGGTATATGGGGACAAACGACAAACAGAGGGACCCTAGTTTCATAACTAAACTTTGAAGTGTTGATAAGAACTGTGTATCGATCGGTCTCATTAACCAGTCGAGTCGCGTATACCATAGATAAGAGTGTTATGCGGGTACTTTGCACAAAACACATTCGCCCACATACTGTGCATTATACGCCAGTTAAAGATAGTCTGACTCACCTTAACATTTTGTGGGAGTTTCACATTAAATTTTATAAGTTACGAATTGGGGCCTATTTTGAAGAATTTTCGGGGATAAAAATTTGTGTAAAATGCTATTTAATGTTTTCTATTAAAATTATGAATTTCCGTTGCTATTTAAAAATTGGGTTAATTTTAAAATAGGTTTGTATTTTGGGCAAGTCTATGGGATGGATTATATCATTAAAAATATGATTATCGCAAAGAAAATATTATGTTGTTCGCAGTAACTATTGGCGTACAATATATAACGATTTCGGGGGATTGAAATGCCTAGAAATTATATTATTCGCAAGTTTAAATGAATTTTACTGTAACTTAGTAAGATAACTAGCGACGAGAGAATTTAAATACAAACCTGGGGATTTCTTTATAAAAATTGATTATTTTTTTAATAATCCAGAGGATCAAAACTGGTCCTTTGGATTTTTATTTTGCTAGAGATAAATTTTATTAAATAATTCATGATTAGTAGAAATGTTGCAGAAATAGGTGCTTTTTAATCCATTCTGTCCAATCCATACTGTGGCGGTGCTGTTAAGATCTATGAGTTCGTATGTAGTTTGGACAGATCCTAATATTTGTCGCTACTTCAATAATTCACATGGCCACGATGAGTGTGGCATAATCCCCTTAGATTTAAAAACTCTTATTATATTTTAAGAAAGAGAAAAAAAAATGATTAGTAGAATCGCTCATATGCAAATAGCTAGAAGATACAATGGCGAATATGTATTTGCAAATATTACAAGTTATATATTTTTAGCTCACATTTTATTAATTTATAATTTATCGTTGGAACGGATTGGCAAGATTTCTAGAAAAATAATGTAGTTAACACAACAGGAAATTTTGATAATTACGCAAAATAAAAGAATTACTGAGTATACAAATTATTGAATGGTGTAAAATACAATAGTATTTTAAATATTCTGGAAAAACGTAATTCGTTGTACTTAAATTTAATTGAAATTCGACAACGATTTAAATCTCTGAAAATATTATTATGAAAAACTTTAGGAAATATTTACCCATTAAAAAAATGGTTAAGTATTAGTGAAAAAAAAATTATTTAAGAAAAAAAGGTTTTTTAGTTGAACTTCGAAAATGGCAAGAAATTATGTTATTTGTAGTCTTTTCTGTGGATTAATAATTATAGGTTTTATAGGTTACGTATTTTTATAACATAAATATAATAGTTGAATATTAAACAAAATGTCTAGACATATGTATACTGTTCATAGGTACACAGTAGTAAAATTAGAATCTTTAAAAAATAACTTAAGCCGACAATTTACTTTTCTATACAAAAGAACTTGTGTCTTAAGACACGATATATTTTGTGGGATATAAGTATAACTTTTTTTTTTTTTTTTTTTTTTTTTTTTTTTTTTTTTTTTTTTATATTTGATGTGCCGACACATCGTCCACTATCCTGCCTGGTTGTTAGCGATGATGCGGTTTACGATACGATATAACCAAAATTAACAAATATTTTGATTGATACAGAAAATGAATATATGCATTGGGTGCTAAATCTCCAGAAATATTGTAATTTTCATAAGTACAATAAATTATGAATAAACCACTAAATCTTACAACAAATACATTCAGCAGTTTTTGAGTTTCTCGGGGTCTTACAGCAGGCAGATTGACGTGAAAATGGACTACTTTTTATAGTAAAGCTGTATTCGGTAATATAAATGGGCAAATGGACCACATTGATAATTTTTGATTATTTCGAACTGCTTGGAATTTAGACATTGATTAAATCATTCAGTACTTGTTCGTCCCGGTCTTACAAACCTACTGATCAAAGGAACCTACAGTCTACAGTTCATAGGCATAATAATATGTGGGGTGCGGTGCCAGAAGACCTCCCCGTGGTGCACCCTGGGTGCGGGCGACAGTCTCCCTAGCGGGGGTGATAGGGTTGGAGTGACTGTCGCCCGCAGCAGACTTCTGGACTGGGCGGGCGAACCCGATAGGGTTCTGGAGGCGGCGGGCTGTGTGCGGAGGCTCATAGCCGCGCTTCCGAGGGGTGTTTCTCCGCCCGTCTCTCTGGACATAGCAGAGAGCGTGGCGGAGAGGCAAAGGCGGTGCTCGTTGTGCACTCACCCTGCCAGCGAGCAGCATCGGGACACAAGCTGTCCCCGATTGCAGCCGTCGATATCGTAATCCGTAAGGAGATCACGGTCATGTTTTGTGACTCTGAACGGGACGAGGGTCTTGGCTTGGTCGCCCGGACCGCGAGGAAGATAACCTCTATAAAAAATTCCTCCAATACTAAGTTCTGGTGCGCGGCGAGAGTATGCATGGCTGAGGAGTAGTGTCAGTCGCGAGCGCACCCCCAGCTAGGGGACCAGTGGAACCTCTAGTTGGGAAACAAATTAACACTTACCCAGGTACAGGGGGCACTGCCTGGGTGGACCGAATATTTCCCCATACTCGTGGGAACTTTATGGAATTGAGTAATAAAATAAAAACCACACAACCGGAGGAGGAGAGTGCGGGTGAGCTTGGCTCGCCTGCAGTAGCAG